GGAGCGATTTCACAGTCGTCAAAAATTGTTATTGATACGCCTCAACTACCACCGCCTCCCCTCGCTACAGCTCCGCGTCGAGACGATAAGTAATGGATTATCGTTCAAACCGGCGGAGCATGAACTTCGACTGGAGCTCTTTCCTCGTGGACTTTGGTACCTACGTTGTCGAGTGGTACCATGGTTTAGTGCGATTGACAATTTATTTTTATTTTTGGTGTCATGGTTTAGTATAGTATAGATCGATAGTTTTTTTTTTTTTTTTTTTAATATAAATTTGTTTCATAATTTTGTTGAAAACCTCTTATATATACTATACGCTTTAAAAGTTTGACGAAGCATCTCTATGTTAAATTTGAAGCAGAATTATGTTCAGCATCCGAGTGGGACCGGCGTCCTTTTTACGCCTTCATTTTCGTCTGATACCTTTTGCCTACACTACGGTACGAATAGTTGTATCACTTATTTCCATGTTAAGTCGGAAGTTAAAATCATATTCAGCAACCAAGTAAGCCTGACGTTCACGATATTTGAAGGAATGTAGGAAAATATGGGTTCAGAGAAGGGTGGGGGGAAGGTAATTTTATGGAAGCGAAGAGAACTAAGAACAAAATTAGTGGGAGTATGGGGTTTGGAAACGAGCAGTGCATTAAAGATGAAGAGAGGAGGATAGTCTCGTTGTTAATTAATAATTTTTTGTTTTGCAAGTTGTTTTAACGAATCTACTGACGAACTGGTTTTTGTGTGAGTGTAAAAAAAAGGAAAAGAAAAAGAAGAATTGCAGCAAAAGTTACATCTCAAAACAGCATTCTGTAAAAATAAATAGACGAACCAAAACGAACCATGACAATCGAATGAAAAACTGGCAACGGTGTAACTATACTGAATGGATCGATCAAATATGTCCTTCAATGACTAATGACTATACATCATTCTGTTATTATTATATAAATGGAGGTAGATATGCCAAGATGAGACGTGTCACACGGACGTAAGTATTCGAAAGAATAATGAGTGAAAAGGTTGAATCAAAAGGTTTTGCTGAAGAAAAGTACATCGACCAATGGAGGGAAACCTTCATCCTAGAAATCGTCCGAAGTGTGCGAGCGCGAGCTACTTACTTTTCTACGAGAAAAAATAGGAAGGTGGGGTCCATCATCGTTTTTTCAGTTGCAAATGCATTTATTTAACCTCATTACCTTCGATTCTTCTATGAACTTTTTCAAAAGTAATGAGGTTTGGATGAAACAGTTTGCATTTCCAACTCACTCTCATCGAGTCGTCAGATCCTGATTATTAAAGACATTCTTCTTTCTTCCCCGCCTCACCGTGCAGCTATTTGACTGGAGCTATGTTCATAGGAATACTTGTGTATACTCTTGATTTTAATTCGAAGCATTCATACTAAAAAGAACTTTGTGCATAGGGTTTGCGTGTAACATAGTCTTTTTTTAGGTATAAATATGTTCAATCGGACGTATTTCTATCAAACGGAACTATGTGCACTATGACGTGAGCCCTGTTATGCAATTATTCTTATGGGTCGCAGGGCTCATGTCTTAATGCACATAGTTCCGTTTGATAGAAATACGTCCAGTTGGTAACTGCACCACTTCCGTGAGTTTCGGTTATGACGTGGCTGATTAGGGCCGTTTAGAGAATCTTCAATCCATAACTACAGCATTTTCACGCTACAGGCGTTTAAAGGGAACTTCTATTCCTCGGTATTGTATTATGTAAATCATGTAATTGTTTAAATTAGAAACTCAAATAATTGAGTACTCATTAACATTTTTGTAATGAAAGAAAAAAAAACCCTTTAAATTCAAAATATTTCCATGGAAGTACACGTCGAAGATGAATTTTATACTCAAACTGTAGACGCGCCAGCTCGTTTTGCTCGCTTTCGTAAAGATTTAATGACAAAACGTATATGTTTTTCGTATTTTTTCAGCAGAAATACGGCTTGTGTACAAACATTTTTAAAACTCACGTTTTTTTTATAGATGGCAACAATAAAGTTTAATTGTATTCTCCATGAGAACGATTTTTTTATCGGTTTTCATCAAGTTCTTCAATGCAATTCACTTCCGGACGAGTCTTACCCAAAACTATAATAATTACCCAATTTTTTCACAATATTTTGTCTTAATCTTTCTATTTGATACCCTTCAAATCCCTAATGTTAGGATAAAAAGGAAAAGTTGAATTCAAGTCAATGATTATCATATCGTCGCCCCTCTGATGTCGGAGCGTATCTCGATTTGCACATGAGCCCTATTTTCCGTGTAACTCCATGCTCTCTGGGGCTCATGTGGAAATCGAGGTACGCCTTCACGCCAGAGGGGCGACGATATATGCTACTTTTTCTGCGTGGTCCGTTTCGTTCTGTTCGGTGAGCACGCCGCATTATCCTCTATATCAGAGGGATGAGCCGTAGGCCGTCCGTCAAAAATAGCAACAACTTACTTGAAGCCGTCCTAGCAACTGATGAAAAATCTTTCTCCCCTCTCCGAAAGCGCACCCTCTAAAAAAGAGGGAAAGCTCTGGACCGTCTCCTCCTGCAAGTAACTGTCTGCAATTGGACTTATTTAACCAGAATCGGGTTAAATACATTTTACGTTGCCCAATTTCTTTTCGTATTTGATTGTTTTCATCCAAAAACGAGCAAATGAACCACAAAAAATGGCTGTATTGAAAATTTTGCCATGGTACATAGGATACCTTTCTCTTGGATGGTCGTATATTTAAAGAAAAATTAGAAAAAACTGCAATACTTTATCGATACACTGATACAAAAAAAGAGTTTATGCGAACCGAATAGTTCAGTAGACGCTCTTTAGTTCACAGAACCAGCCTTCAGTAGAACAAACCGACCGCCTCAGTTCAGCGCGCTGAAGTTCAGCCCACCAAACTGAAAAACTTAAGTTCAAAACGTATTTTTGCCATAAGAAACGATGGTCATAGATTTTGCCCACAAAAAAAGCTCATCTCAGCATAAATACGTCCAAATAGCATATGCCTCTCTTCGAACGAAGTGTTTTAATTAACGTTGAAGTCTTTAATAGAATATAAACAAAAAAGTTACTCATGAGCATTCTGGCCTTATTTTCTATCGATCTAGTTATTACAATTTTATTTTGAAGCGCTTCAATTTCGGTTAACTGAGCCTTCAGCTCACCAAACTGAGAAGGTCAGTTCGCTTGATCGAAGGCTCGTCCTCTGAACTGCAAAACACTCTTTTAAATGCTCGCTTCGTGCACTGAGTAAAAATCATGGTTATAACTGCCATATTAGTGGTGTTAAATATGAACTCTTAATTAATTGTTGCCATAACCAATAATTAGATATTTTTACCATTAAATGGTAATTTTACTACCGCACACTTGTAATTTTACGATTGCTCCAGTAAAAATATCACTATTATTGGTTATGGCCACTACTATTGACCACTAATTGAGAGTGCATATTGAACACCGCTAATATGGTAATTATAACCATAGTTTTTCCTCAGTGTGAGACTGAAATGTTTTTATCTCCATGATTTAAAAAAAAAAGTTTTACAAATACTCGACAAAAGCTCTGCATAACCCTTTTCCACTTGGCATCGGTGCCGGAGGTCCCTCGGGCCGCCGGGATCGGCTCTCAAACTCGCTTCGGCCCGAAAAGAAATATCACTCGAGGTGAATTTAACGCTAGTTGATTTTGCATCGTTCGCTAAGTGCGCCAACACCGTCCCGCACGAATGCTACGACCTGCGTCTCGTTTCGTCAAATTGGCCCCTGCGCCCCATGCCCCCCCC